CCTTGAGGTTTCTGGGCCCCCACATGTGCACACACAGGTGCATACCCCCACACATGTGCACACATCACACACATACTTTACACAAACACACACACACATATGAAAAATGTTTTCTGGGGAAAACACTGGTAAATCCCACATCGAGTACTATCTCCTAAAAATATGGAATAGTGCCTGATACATGATAGGTCCTCAATAAATATTTACGGAATGAACTGTTTTTCTGATGCATAGCATGTTTTATATATGTGACTGGTGGCTATACACAAACCTTGTCTCAGAAGGAAAGAAAATTGTATTTTCCAAGCACACCTGTAGTCCTAGCACTTGGAAGGCAAAATCAGAAGAACTGAGAAGTCATAGCTGTATACAAATTGTGTGTGTGTGTGTGTGTGTGTGTGTGTAATATTTAAGGCCAGTCTAAAGTACATAGCAAGGCTTTTTCTCATCAAAAAGCTAAGGCCTGAGGATGTACTTCAGTGGTAGAATGTTTACCTAGCATTTGTAAGACTTTGGGTTTGATCCATAAAACCACAAGAAACACAAAAATTAGAAGACTTTGATAAAGTTCAGGTGAACTCTGGGAGTGGGGATGGGGATCTGTGCCCCACTGTTTATTTAACAGTGCAAGTCAAAAGGACATATGCTTAGTATTTCAGGAACAAATTAGAGTATGCATGTCTGTGTATGCAATTACTTGTTGCTGAAAGAAAGAGCCATCAGTGATTAGTAGACAAAGTTTATGCAATAAATGGGTTTACAGTTCACTGTTGTCAACGATACAGCATTTTCATCACAATTATAGGTGAAACAAATAAAAACCTCATGAAGAAGTCATAAATACATTCATGCGAGTGAGAATATTGTATAAAGCATTGCACATGCATTGTAGAGGCAGACAACACTGGGGAAGGGTTATATTTTCACTCACCTTAGGTTGGCTCTTTGTATTTTGTCATTGAGACTTACATTATGTTTGGGTCAAACAAGGAACCCAAAGTGGTTTTATAAAAAGTTTACAACCATTAAACAATACTGTTTAATCCCACAAATGGATAAAACAAATTACTATAGCTCAATGATACACAAACCAGGACTAAAAAATAGTCAATCTGCCTATGTGTATAGCTAGCTATAATACAATAGATATCAAATATGCTGAGTCTTCACAGAGGCATTGACTACTTTAGACAAGCAAGTTCTAGAAATACACTGGTTTCAAATGAAAACTAAACTAGTGCCATTTTGGTTGAAGATAATGCACTCCTCAGTTTCATATCCGAAGAGAAGCAAACTGGGAGGTGGAAGAGAAGGGTTAGGAGGAGACCTGAGCGGGGCTCTTTGGACAGCTTGGCATTACTTTCCCTGTGCAAATCCAAACCTGATTTACGGAGCAAAACAAACTCTATTAAAATTGTTGGCCCTCAAAAAGGGCATTTGTACAAAGCCGCACGCTTAGAGAACAGATAGAATTTTAACTGAGAGCCTCTTCACAGCGAACTGTTCCACATTAAAGGGAAACTGTAACAAAGATTAATAGATATTAATGATTGAATTGTTTTATAAGTGTTATTTATTCCGAGATTTAAAAAAAAAATGGATTGTGGAGAAGTAGTCTCTTAGAAACTAGAAGGGGCTTGAGAGAATAAGAAAGGGGGAGAAAAGTCATGCCATATGCCTCATTGCTTAGAAGAAAAGTTTTACAGACCATTTCCATAAGGCATCTGTCATTTTCCCTTCCATACCTGGTACCTTAATTGAGTTCAATAGTTCTGTGTTACCTTTGAAAAGGCTCCTCTTTCTTTGAGCTGTCTTATAGAAAGGGTGCTCTGGATTGACCATGCCCTGCCAGAGTCACTTTTCTCCTTTAGGTGGAAATGAAAACAACAACAACAATAAGGTCACAACAACAAAACGAAAATCAGAAAATACAAAGTCTAAGGCCTGGACAGGCACAGATTTGCTATGAGGTCAGAAAATCAGTGAAGGAATTCAAATGACAAAGCACCTCTTACAGAATCCGCTGCTTCTTGAAAACCACACAGAACATTGTGCCTTAACCCCTACTGTGTACTTGGAGGTAAGTATCTTGAAGGACAACACACTTAGCCCCTTGAAGGGTGCTACCGAGGTCTCAATGCTCTTCTTTATTTGCTATTTTATAATTATAGACAAAATGGAAAAGTCAAGAAGTATGCAGATCTTGATATAAAAAATGTTTCTCTAATGTAAGAACCAAGTTGGATTTATGCATTCATATTTATACATCTCCTTAAAGATTCTTACATATGGTTTATTACTACTGACACTTTATAAAAATCCCTTTGATAAGGACATATTAAATTTAATAGGCTAAAGAGAATCACACTGTTGCAGATTGTACACACAATAGTTGTGCATCTAACAATAAAGAGGCCTTGAAAACTGTATTTGTCTATAAACTACTACTGCCCTTTGGAAATAAAAGCTCCCTCATGACCCCTGGGCTACTTTCCTGTGACACACAGTGCCACAAATATGGTGAAAATTAAGTACTAAACATAGTTTAAGATGAGTTTTGTATATTTGTTTCTATACAATCAGGAGAAAAAGAGATACAATTTGTATCAACAAAAGGTCATTTCTGGTTATTTGAGGCATTGCTCTTAGCTGCTTTGGTTCATACACATTTTACAAGGAGAGAAGAATGGCAATCCTTTCTTAGAAAGTAAAAAATGCATACGCTATCTTTAAAAAATTGCCCCTACTGGAGGAGCTTAAACATGAACATATTCCAAATGGATTGCAGCTGACAAGACGAATCTTGGGCTTTCCTGCAAAATGGGAAGCCAGTGGACACTGCAGTGTCATTGGTAGGAAGGTGAACTAATTGGTACAAAGGCATCGGAATATTCTGAGATTGTCAAATACCCTGATCTAGTCAAGGAACAGATTTCGAAGGTCCAAGAATTTCAAGGTATGAAGAGATGCTTGTGTGAGATAACAAGCACTCCAGTGGCAATTGTCAGTTTTTATGGATCTACTTGATAGAAAATATTGTTACACTGTATCAGTATACTGGGGAATGGATCAATTAGAAGGTAGGAAGAGATAGATGTAAAACTGTGACTAAATGAATACTGTTAGGATGTACTATTCATCAACTTTCCGAGAGAGAAAGCTGGAAAGCAGCATGTAAGCCATTATCAAACCACCAGAAACAACCCTGACTACAGCCTCACATTCAGAGTGTTTCACAGTAAGAAACATTTATAGGCAGTATTACACCTTCTCATGAAGAAACAAAAGGCCAAGGCCAGGCCTTCTCAACTCTCATGAAAAAGGACTATAGAAGTTAGTAACTTCCAGCCTCAGAAACTGGGAGCTGGTCATGGTTCAAAATGTTGAAATATACAGTGAATTCAGAGAGGAGGGCTCATTTAATGCATCTTTTAAAAAATAAAATCAATAAATGCCCCTTCTAGAGGCATGCAGCTACAAATGAGTAAGATTCAAATTGTGCAAAGGGTGCTGTCTGGCCCAAAGTCATACCTTCTTTAATAATGCATCTCATTATGATCTAATCCAGGGCACCCTCTTTGCATGGATTTGAAGTGCATAACAGAACACTTCCCCTTTGGAAACTGCTTTTGGCCACCTAGAAAATACCCTGGTTTTGTTTCCGAAAGAAATTCTGCTCTATTAATTACTGATCTTATTGCTCAAAGGGTGGGCAGCTAGAGAGAATGGCGTGTATGCCTATGCACTCTCTTTCACTACACTTTGTTCTGTAATGTTGAATTAGTCAGAAGTTCCAACTCTGTAGCTATCACTTAATGCCATCCCTCCTGGGATAAGGGAAGTAGATTCTGCGAGTAAGTCCCTTGGTCCTGGTCCAGTGCTTTAGCACATGTGTATCATATACATACTAAGTGTTGAACATGAGCTTATAGACTAGTTCCTCTATAGAAGGCTTGAGCCTGACCCCTAGTTTGCTAAGGTGAAGAGACTTTCTGAAAGCTAAGAATGGTTAATAAATGTGGTCAAGTAAAATATGTAGAAGAAATACAGCTGCTTTACTCTGGTCTTTAAGAAAGCAAATTTAAATGTCGCCATGTGATTTCACTTTCAAGTCTAATTGAAACTATAAAATGTGACAAAATCAAGTTGTATTTGTGATCTATACAGATGTAAACTATAGACTGTATAGAGCTTACCATCTCATCACTATAGAAAAGTTGATACCAGAAATACAAACACATCTGAAACCAAATACATAAATTCATACATGCAGTAGAATTGCTAAGAGGAAGGCTCAACTATTTCTCTAGAAGCCTCAATGTGACCCTATACTTGGTTAAAGATATTGAATGATCAGATACCCATGCAATAAAATCATTTTACTTTTGATTTTAAATATTTCTATTAAAAAAACCTTAAAGGTTAATTCATAATACAATCTGATCCTCATATATTTGCTTTCTAAATTGGACAGATGATCCACACTTTATAATATTGAATGTGTGACTGAAAAACCACTGGTAGCTGGGTGTGGTGGCATACACCTTCAATCCCAGCACTCTGCAGAGAATGGTGGCTGAGTTCTGGTAGACATAGCAAGTTTCAGGAAAGTCAGGGTGACAATGTGAGACCCTGTCTCAAAAAACTAAAATAGAAAATGGAAAGAAAATAATCGTAATGCGTTACCTTGGAGTTTCTTATACACTTAGGCCTCTTGGGTTTTCTCCTCCATTATCTCCACACTTTAGTGGAAAAGGGTATGAGACATTGGGCCAGAGAACCTAGGTGTATGTCTTGACTGTCATTTGCTAGCATCAAGCTTTGTTTCTTTCTCTATGAAATCGAATGTTACTGAGATCTACCTCACAGAGTTGTTATGTACTTAAAAGATAGAAATACTCTGTAATTTTAAAAGCACAACACAAATTATTACTTATTAGAATTATAGTATTAATGTATTAATAGTATTCATATTTATGTAAAGGAATATTCCTCTCATGTCAACGTGCAGCCCTCAGCTTAGCAACAATCAAGGCTGCCAGTTGTTGAGCATCTGCTGTGTGGGGATTCTTCTCCATCACTGCAAGAACAATGTTAGAAGGGAAGATGTTGCAGAGGTTCTTGTACGTCTGATATTGATGCTCTGGTATCATATGCTCCCTAGAATCACTGCACATTCCAACCCAAGGATTCCTCCAAAGTTGCTCCATTTTTTCAGGCATGCTCCTTACCATGACTGGTTCATAACATGGTTGCATGAGGCTGTTACCTAAGGGATAGGAGTGGTATCCATAGGAGTCGGTTGTACAAGGCAATGGGTCCCAGCTAGCATGCTGTTCCCTGCACAGAGGAGGCCGCCTTTGCCTCATGGGGTTGCTGTCATAGAGGCGGGAGTCAGAAATGCTGTCCATCCGAGTCATCACCAGAGCACGGCCTGGCTGGGAGGGTCCCACAGGATGGATATTGGAAGGCATGGTGTAGTCTCCAGGACAGCTAGAGTGTGCTCCAGCTGCTGAATTCTGGGTGTGCAGAGCTAAGTGAGGGACTGACTGCTTGTGGGGTGCTTGCTTGGAATCTTCTGAACCATAACTTTGAACTCTTGCTAAGGCTTCATGGTAACCGTGGGAAAAAGGCTGAAGATGGTTATGAGATGCTGAGCGGTGCAGCTTCAAAGTGCCTTCAGGATGGGCATCAGCTACAGCCAAGTACAGGTTGTTGTAAGAGGAATAGTTGTCATTCCTGGTATGGCTCATGTGACTGTCGGTACATAGGCCGGGATTACGAACATATACCCCCTGGTTTGCCTCAGCCATATAATATTCATGATTATGCATGTTGTTGATGCTCAGTTTGGAGAAGTCACTTAACACTGAATAGTAGTCATGGTCCCCCATGGTCTCAAATTTTGGGTATTGCTCAGTATAGTTAATAGGGGTACCATGGCTGTTGGTAACCAGGATAGGTGGATATTGCATGCTGACCATGTGTTCCAAAGAGGCCTTTTGATGGGGAAAATGGGAGGACCCTGGCACTGGGCTGCTGGCTGAACGGGTGTTGAGTGCACCCACTGCATGGCTTTTGGGGGGAGGGATTGTAGGGACACTTAAAGCGGTCACAAGTGAAGGGACAGAACTGGCTTCAGGTTTACGGGCAATGGACAGCCACTCCTCAGGCTCTACAGCCACAGACCGGATGCTGGGATCTGATTGGCGCTTGGAGGCCACACGTTTGATCTCTGGGGTTATCTCACCTTTGGCAGTAGACATCCCTGTGCCACATTTGGCCAGGGTGTCTTCACTCATTATTTTCACTGTGGACAGTTTGGCACTGATGCGGAGCTCATCAGCCACCGAACGCTGCGGTTGGTTGGCCCGCTCCGGATGATAGTATTTGCACTTGTGGCCGTAGGTACATTTTTTGCCTGAAAAATAATGCCTTGGAGTAAGACTCTCTCTTTCATAGTGGTGTAACCCTCTGTGCCAGAAATTCCCCTAACAATCTGACGACTCAGGTTAGAGTTATACTGTTCAGGATTAAAGCAGAAAATTAACACTCCACAAAGATGAGAGACAGACAACACCAAGGAGTCACCACATACTGTGAAGGGAGAGTAAGTAAGTGCAAAGCTTCAGAGGAAACTGCACTGTAAGAGCTAAGTGCTGAGCTGTGGACTAGCTTTATTTTTCTGGTGATGGACAACTTTTCTTAGACATAATCTGTATGTTGAGGCAGCCTAGAGGAACAGAAAGCAAAATGGTGCAGTGGAAGGAGCGCAAATTTGGAAGCCAGTGAGAGCTGAGTTTCAATTCTAGCTATGTCCTTTACTGTGTAATCTGGACAAGTGACTATTTCCTAAGGCCCATTTTCCTCTTTGGTAAACTAGTTTCATAACCATGTCTATATTACAGGATTATTATAAAGATGAAATGAGACAACACACATGAATTGAGGAAAAAAACCCACACCCCTCAACAAGTGATTATTCAACAAGCTCAAACATCCAAAATAGCTTCCTACCAAGCAACTCATGTTGCATTGTTAGGCTCACGAACTTTGTAGCGGGGTGGGGGTGGGGTTGGCACGAGCACAATAATACTTAAGAAAGCCAAGTTTAAATATATGAATGAAAAAAGTGGAGGCAACTGAAGTACAAATCAGAAGGAAAATGGTAGAGTTAGTTGACAGAAGACATAGTCACCTGCTGAAGAAATATGATCTTGTTAGGGGTCAGCCCTTGGAAATTGCTCTTCTATTTCCATAGACTATATAGTTTCTGCATGTCCTTACTTTCAGAAACATCACTCAGGACTTAGGTATCTAGAGTACATTTTCATAAGTGACAACTATTTCCCACCTTCAATTCTAGTTACTGTTTCCTCATGCAGTTTCTAGGATGGTTCTTTGTGCTCCTGAGAGTACATAAAGACACATTTCCACTCACAGAAAGTGGACATGCCAAGATTTCTCACTTGAAAGAGAAATCTGTAAAGGAAAATTATTCAAAGAATCTGTGTGCTTCCCTTAGTACAGAACTTAATTCTGTCAAGAAGTACTCACCATAAGGACACGGTTGCTTTTTATGCTCAGGAACCACAGGTCTCTTTCTTAAGAAATTCTCAAGGCTTGGACCATGACGTCCAAGAGGGTCATCTGGCGGCATAAATCTGAAAGCAAGCCAACAGGAGATGAATGTCTTTCTTTCTGTCCCTACCAGTTTGTAAGAGTTCAGGCCTTCCTTCTCCCTTGCCTGTACTGCGGTCATAACATTCTAATTGTGCTTTCCAGCTTCCATCTATCTTCTGTTAAAACAGTGTTCCTTCCCTTTGTTTCTAATTGGTCACACAGAAAGGACTATTTCCTTGTGCATCATTTTTCATAGACTATATGCAGCAGTCATACTGGTATGAATGTTGGTTTCCCCTAGTACACCAGCCACTTTCATACCTTTATAGATTTATTCATAGTGTTCCTTTCACATGTCATACCCAGCAGTCCTCTTTATTCTGTAAAATTCATTTCAAAAGACAAAGCAATTTCTAACATCCTGTCATTTTCCCTCTACCCTATCTCTACCTTTCTTCTCACATACTTTGAGGCCTTTGATGGTGAGTCCTGCTTCCTATTAAGTCTTTTATCTTTAGAGCAAATCAGCACAATTCATTGTATACAGCGTTTAATATATGTTTATTGAAATGTAATGCATTACTACCAGTAATTTGTACACAACTGTTTAGAAAGAAACTCACTTATCATTCACAAAAGAATACATCAGCAACCGTTCCTCTATAAACTTCTTCCATTCTGGCTTTTCAACTTGAAGGTCTCGGTAGTTATCATTGGATACAATGATGCCATCAGAATCAAAAGCCAATTTGACTATGAACCGATCATCATAGCAGACCACCCTTCTGCCTTGGACCCTTCGGGATGGTGTGAAGACGAGAATCTTTTCCTTCTCCAGTTTACGTAGAATATCTTGATCTATCAAAATATGTTTATGCCACATAGTAGAAATCATCTTTGGAAATTAACTGTGTTATCCCCATATTACCAAAACAAGAGTTAATACCAGATAAATGATTTATTTTTAATTGGAGAACAAGTGTGATACTTTTCTGGCTGTGACACTAAATAGAACTGTGACCTTATATAAGCTATTTTCTCTTTCACACTTTAGTTTTTCTTTCAGTAAAATGAGTAACAAAACCAAAAAACAACCCTAGATTCCAACACATTTAATTAAAAAAAAACTATCACAAAGAATAAGAACTAACATGTGGTATAACATTCCTTCTTTTTCGTTTAAGACAGTCTTCCTATGCAGCCCAGTCTAACCTGAGGCTTCAGAGTCTTCTATTTCATTGGCCCAAGAGCTGAGATAACATGTGTGTGCCAACACAGTGAGCTTACTCTAGCATTTTGATACTTGTTTTGCTCTTTGTCTGAAGCATCAGATTTTTCCCCCTGTGGTGCTGGGGTTGAAAACAGAAACTCAAGAGCAAGTGTTCTCTCACTGATCCACATCTTCATCCCTAGCCTGGCTTCTTGACTGTTTAAGCTCAGAAATAGCAAAGGCTGTGTCTGTCAGGAGGGTAAGCCATCACTCATGAAGACTTTTGTTTTTTACTTTTACCTGAAAGAAAGACAAAACTGAGGTGGGACAACAAGCTATAGCATTTAAGTAGTTGCATAATGCGCGTGCGCGCACTCGAGCGCATGTGTGTGTGTGTGTGTGTGTGTGTGTGTTTACGTTTGCTATGACACATTTGAGAGGGTCAGAGGGCAATTTGTGGGAGTTACTTTTCTTTCCACAATTTGGTTCTCAAGGATTAAAATCAGGTTATCAGACTTGGCAGCAAGTGCCTTAACCTGCTGAGCCATCTTGCTGACTTGGACCCAGTTGTTTAGGAGAGAAAACTTGCTTACTGGATTGAACAGTACTAAGATCTACTCTCACACTGGGGCTTGGGCCTGCTCTGCAGATATAGACAGCTCCACACAGAACTCAACCACCCACTCACTGTACTTTCTGAATAGTTACATCAGGAATGAGATGGTGGTAATCAGGATACTGAGATCTGTATGTTCTTCAGTGCTATACAGAGCACATCTTATGTGTACAGGAAATGTACTGACTGAGCTACTAGCATGAGGTGCACAGCACAATTCTTGTGAAATTTAGGCACCTTTATTTTCATGAGCTCTTTCTTCCACAGAAATATCTAAAAGTTCATTTTAGAATTGCACTCATATGAAGACAAACACAATCCAATTAAGTGTATTGTTGTACATTTATTGTTATTCTCTGTTTTTTTTCTTATGTGAAAAAGAACAAAATGAAAACATTTTTGTAGATTTTTAAAAACTGGGATCGCCCCTAGGCTCTGAGCCTCCTTTGTCTGGCGGCTAACTGGCTTTTCTTGTCTTCGGATTTTTTTCTCCTCTCTGTTGCCCCTACCTTGAAAACCCCACAGTTGTTTCTCTAATACAAAATAAGATTGACTGTATATCATGTAACCTTTAATTTATTGAAAAAATCCATTATATTCATAACCATATTTGTTCCCTACTGTCTGAAATCTATGATCAAACAGGCTGCCCTGTTACTCACTACAGTACAGGTTAGCCTCAAACTCACCATCCTCTGGCCTAGGTCTATTGAGTATTGGGATTGCAGGTGTGTGCAGATTTCCATAAGAATAACATTCTTTTTTTCCAATTATATGCTTTGTGGGTTTCTACATGTAAATTTTTAATCAGCTATCTCATACCACAAAACAAGGATGGTTTCATATGGATCCCTTTAGAAAAAAAATGCAGTCACTAAAAGACATTTTAAGCATACTTAACTTAGAAAAGCAATTATCTAAGTTGGGACCATCTGCCTCTCTCCAAACTAGCTTTTTAGCTTTGACTCTCGAGGAAAAGTCTTTTTTTTTATTATTTATTTAAAATAATACCTGTAATTGGTGCATCAGGGCGGGATTGCTCCTTTCTCCATGCTGGTACAAATACAGTGATATCTTTATGGCCTTTGTCTAGAAACCAATCCACAGCAAGTTGTATTCCTCTGCAGGAGAATTCTTCTTTATTCCCATGGCTTCAGAAACATTAGAGAGCAAGAGACAAAAAGGTTAATTGTAGACAGCAAAAAGAAACACTTTACCAGTGCCTTTCTCAGTGCTGTGATTAATGACAGACATTTTTATTTCTTTTCTCCTACATTTTTTTTCAGACAGAGATTAAAGAGTACTAACATCATTCCTAACTAACATTTTTTTATGATGTCAAACGTATATACATACATGTAAATATATATATATATTCAAGTGCAGATGATCAAACTCAGGACCGTCACAAACTTGCTACTATTAAGTTATACCTTTATGGCAAAAACTACTTTTTAAAAGAGAAAACTGTATTCTTTTTATTTTGCTGTTGTATTATTATAAATTTCACTCAATGCCAAGGGTGATTAATAACAACTCACAAATTACAGCAGACATGACAACTACTATTAGTTTCATTTCCTCCTTTCTATTTTTGTTGCCACCTTTACTCAAAGGTGTTGGGTATTCACAACAGATTGAAAAGGAAGGGTACATTTCAGAGGATTAGAAAAAGTTTATATGGAACATAGTTGATGTGAAGCTTAAACACATATGCACAAATGTTCATACTCATGCCACCACTCTACGTTGTCAAATTCACGGCCTTACGAATGTTAGAGGAACCTCTTCTGTGACATACTCCCAGGTGTTAAGCATATATATTATGCTTAAAATGACAGTGAAAATGACAAAATAAATATGCTCTTCTTCTATGTCTAAAATTTCCTCCAAAGTCAAGCATTTCTTTTATAATTAGAACATGATGCAATAAGAGAAAAAAATCTATTTCCACAAACATTGTGTAATTAAAAAAAAATCCAGGAGGGGCTGGAGAGATGGCTCAGTGGTTTAAAACACTGACTGTTCCTCCAGAGGTCCTGAGTTCAATTCCCAGCAACCACATGGTGGCTTACAACCATTACACACACACACACACACACACACACACACACACACACACATTTAAATCCAGGAGGTGGAGGGCAGAAGCCAGCCAGGCCACCTGGCCTTCCTCATGAGGAATGAACTATAATGAACATAATATATTCCACTATATTCCATACTATATTCCACTATAATGAATATACTTATGTGATGGAGAAGTGGGAAAGATAGAAAAAAAAGGTGTGGTGAGTGTGCTGTGAAGAGAGGCAGAAGTAGAGACAAAAGGGCAGTTGACAGATAAAAGAGAGGCCTGAGGTGAACAGATGCCCAGTTAGAATCAGCTGGGTTGTGTACAGCAGCCCTGAGCTTACGAAGAAGCAGACTCAGGCCCCAAACGTGTCAACCAGCTGTGGGATTGTCCTGGTACTGGGAAACGGTGGAGGCTGAGATGAGGAATGGTTCACTTCCTAAATTGGACCGCCTCAAAGGACCTCCATGGTCCATGATTCTAGTAGAGATCATGTTCACGTCTGTGACCCACGCTGCTGCCCCTGGCCATGATGAAGCCTGTGATCCATGTGGATGTATGTGATCTGTGCCACCGACTGAAGCTTTGCACTTTGCTGCCTGTGTTGGAGTCATGTTGATGTGAGTGGCCTCTGTAGCTACCTGAGGCCATGTTGAGGTCCATAGTCTATGCTGCCACTGAGGGCCAAGTAGGTCAGTGGTCCTGATATGGCTGGGAGCCTTGTTGAAGCTCATGGCCCATGTTATCATGCAAGGCTATAAGGATATCCACAGTCGTTGCTGCAGCCAGAAGCCATGTTGATGTCCCTGGGTTGTGCTGCCACCTGAGTCTATATTGATCTCTGTGGTCCTTCTGCAGCTGAGGGCAGTGTTCGTGGTCTGTGCTTTTGTCAGAAGGAATGTGGAAGCCCATGATCTGAGCTGCCTCTTACTGTAATGAACACGGAAGCTACTTTTGCAGTGATATTGATGGCTGCAGATGCATAGCTGAGAAAGAGGGATGTGGAAAGCTTCTGTGACAACCCTTCCCCCTTTCCCCTCCCCCAACCAAAAGTAATAGTCTAAAGAGCAAGCATTGAGAGAACTCTTAAAAAGTGGGATAAGGATGCTGAAGTGTATCGCTCCACAACTGAAGGCTTATGGCAGGGGTGTGAGAGTGGAAGGACTCACTTCTATTTAAGGGGCAGGCCATTGACAGTTTGACCATGCTCCAGTGAGTATATAGATAACACAAATTGGAGTTGTTTTATTTTTATGTTGGAGGAGTCACAAGCGAAGGGCAGACATGGAAGGACTGAGAAATGAGCGTGATTGGGGTACATCATGTGAAATTCCCAAAGAATCAATAAAAAATATTATGAAAAATCCAAACTTTATCTTTTTAGTACATTATACAGTAATTTTGCCACTTTCAGCTTTATGATCATTGATACAGCATTAGGTTTCTTGTAACTGATTTTATGTATATTTATATATGTTATATAATTTAATGTTGCTGCTACAGCAATTTATTTTCTACTCACTGATGGTATTAGGGTTTGATCCTTCATGAGTGGTAGGATAATTAACACCATTAACACTGAGGATGTTTGAAAAAGCCATAGGACATCATTATTTTATGTGTATTTAAATTTATACAATGTAACTATATATATAATAAATTAAGAACATTTAGAGTTCCAAGAGTTGCTGGCTACTCCAGCACTTGAGGGCTTGAGATATGTGGATGGCCAGCCAGTTCACTCAAAACAGTTAAGTTCCAGGTTCATTGTACCACCTTAGGTGGAGAAGCAACTAAAGAATTCATTCATACAGCAACTTATGGCCTCTACATACACCCACATTGGCAAGAACACCCACATAGACAGATCACAACATATACACAGGAAGAAACCAGGTGCACTAGGGGAGGATGTATAAGGAAGGGCAATGGTCAATCAGAAAAAATAAGAATGAGAAATAAAGACACATATGTATAATGATACCATGAAGATGAAACACAATTTCTGTGAAGAATGTCATTAGAATGTTGATGAGGATAACAATGAATTTGTAAATCACTTTCAATAGTGTAGCCTCTTCATAGTACTGATTTTGCTGATCCAAGAAGGTATGTATTTCCATCATCTAGTATCTTCAATTTTTTTGTTTTGAAAGTTGATTATAAAGTTCTACCACTTTCATTGTTATGTATACTTATTTCTAAGTTACTTTGAGAATGACTGTAAATGAAATTATTTCACCTATTTCATTTTCTGTACATTGGTTAAACAGAAAAGCTACTGATTTTTTCAGAAACCCTGGTTTCTAAAATAATATGTATGACCTAAGAATTTTCTAATAGTTTATTGACTCCCTCCCTCCCTCCCTCCCTCCCTCCCTCCCTCCCTCCCTCCCTCCTTCCTTTCCTTCCTTCCTCCCTCCCTCTTCCTTCTCTTCCTTCCTCCCTCCCTCCCTCCTCTCTTCCTTCTTTCCTTCCTCCCTCCCTCCCTCTCTTGCGCGCTCTCTCTCTCTCTCACACACACACACACACATACAATATTATACATATATTATATATCAATTATCAAATCAATTATACATATATATTTTCCTACTTGTCACTGCTTTCCCCCCCCATGCTTATTTCTCTAGCTAAAGTTTAAAAATGGAGAAAGCCTATACACTTGTTCTTGATTTTAGAAGAAAACATTTTGGTATTTCCCCTATTTATTATAAGGTGTTCTACAGATTTGTATATATATACCTTATGATGTTGACATACTATCATTTTCTAGTTTTAGGTCTTTTTTCCTCATGATAAAAAAGTGCAGAAGTGCATCAAAAGCCATTTCGTCCTCTTCAGATGATCCTATCTAATTTCTGTCTGTGAGTCTATCTATGTATATGCTGTATTGCATTTATTTTATTAATTTTCCAAAGGTCTGATCATTTGTTTGTTATTCTTAAAGACTCTTATTTCTGAGTCAATCAGAAAAAATTGCAGATGCATAGTTGAGAAAGAGGGACATGGAAGGCTTCTGTGACAACATTCCCCCCCATCCTTCCAAAAGTAACAGTCTAAACAGTAACGGAAATACAGGATCTCAGCAAGGACAGCCTATGTCTCTTGGCCATTCTCTCCTAGCATTTTTTTTTTTTTGCTTCCTCCATTCTCTTTGGCCAAAACTTTAGCAAATGCTGCAGCCTCCTCCTTAGTTTTCTTACTGCAGTGGAATATACCAGTGGGTTTTGTTTTTTTTTTTTTTTTTGCAAGCCAACTGGAGTAGTAACAAGAAGCTGAATCATGGGTGATTTGGTCCTGTGCTTCTGACACTGGGGTGCTAACTCTGGAGGGACAGTAGTATTTGTCCAGATCCTCCCTCTCTCCAATAGCCAAGTTGACAACACTCAGATTTGCATCCACTATGCATGTGTGAACAGACTCATGCTTCCTCTCTCTAGTTCTCTTTGGTCTATAGTAATAATTCACCTTATTCAAAAGAAGGCACACTAAGCTGTAAGTCACAAAACCTTGCATCTTGGAAAAATCTCGTTTGTTATCCCCACCACTGATTTGGAAAACATAACCTGTCCACTCTTCACCCAGATACAATTTTCTCATATCATCCTCACTATGAGCCTCTTAAGTTGTATGATTCTTTCACATTATTATTTTTATTCTTTAATTTATCTTTTCATTTTATTAGATCTTTGAAAATTGTGTACAATTCATTTTTATTATATTCCTATATCCCTCCCTCTAACCCATTCCTTGTATATCCACCTTTTCTTTCCTAACCACTCAACTTTTTGTCTTCTTTTTTTAATCCATTAAGTACTGTTTATACTGCTCATATATTTTTGGATGGATGGCCTTAACTAGAGGTCTACTTACCAGGGGTTACACCCTTAATAAAAACAAACTCTTCCTTTCCCAGCAGTGAGAAACTGTTAATAGCTCCTTATCTAGGACTTAGTGACTACCTCCCCTCTCCATGCTAGAAATTTGTCAGGCTTAAATTTCCATAGATCTTGTGCACGTTGTTTCAAGTGCTGTGAATTCATATGTACAAGTTCTCTGATGTGTCCAGAAAAT